AATGACCAAACCCTAAAATTATTTCATTACCACTGAGGCGTCGCGGGGTATCCTAGTGGTTAAAGCATTCGCTCGTCACGCTGAATACCCAAGTTCAATTCCCCACATGGGTAGAATTAGACTAACGCAAAGTCTCTGATAAAATAAAATTTTGAAAGTAAGAAATAATCACATTTAAACTGAAAAGGAGCCCCAGTGAGGTGGGAGTTTCAGAGGAAGCTGATGAAATTTAGACTTGCTTCATCAGGGACTTTTAGGCAGAAGGGAAAATAGTGTGGTCCAGGGACTGTGAGACAGACGAGGGTACAGTGTGTGAAGCCCATTTCTGGTGTTCCTTAATATTGCTGGAATATTGCTAAAAGTGGCCTAAAACCATAGTCACTCACCCGTGAAAATCCGGGTTAGAATTGATCATCAGTAACCCATGATTGTCGTAAGAGGCGACTAACGGGATCGGGTGGTTAGGCTCGCTGACTTGGTTGACACATGTCATCGGTTCCCAATTGCGCAGATCGATGCTCAGGCTGTTGATCACTGGATTGTCTGGTCCATACTCGATTATTTACAGACCGCCGCCATATAGCTGAAATGGTGCCGAGTGCGGCGCAAAACTAAACTCACTCACTCACCATAGTCAATCACGCACTATCGCAGAGGGTTACATCCCAAAACTTCCACATCCCAATACTACCACACATTGTTTGATTTAAACATATTTATTCAAGATAATGGATTGGGTACAAGTTATGCCAACTTAGTGAAACCCTCTCCACATTGTTAAAATAACAACTCCTCATCACCCAATTTAGGTAACAGGATAGCCCGGAAGTGCACTAAACTGAAACAACAGATAATCACTTAATCGCAGATTAGAGGTTTTAATAGAGAAGAGAGCAGCTAGTTAATAAATCTGAAATATATATAATATGAATTCGTGCATATTTCATGTTGGCAAAAATTGTAAATTTTCTTTAGTTTAGTAAATATGTTTACTTTAAAAGCTAATTTAATTAAATTTGTCAGTCAGATATTTCAGAATGTTTAAAGAACATATATTAGGCAAAAGATTTACTTATGGATGTCCCTGCCATGTAAAAAAACAGGTAAACACTGTTAAATGTGAGTGTGAAATCTTGGACACTATAGGACATATAGGTTCTTTTTAAATGTTCTACATAGACTGTTATATGTAACTAGAAAAGATAAGTATTATGTTATAACCCTGCCTTAATAACATATATGATTTATTACTAAGTGATTGTTTGTATTCATTACTGATTAATGGATTAAATCATTAAACCATTACAGACTGAGGTATTCTATTCAGTATGCTAAAGTGTGTGCAGACAACCAGAAATGTTCTTATAAGCTGTGGAAGTTTGGGGAGGATACCATCGCAGAGTTATATGTGAGCTCATTAACGCCAAGGTGATTGCATTGGACAAATTCTGTGAGAAATTGTCTCATTTCACAATAAAGAAGTTTAGGAAAATTGATAGAAATACAAGCAAATCGAGAAAAAATGAAAAAAAATACAAAAGCATACAAACAGCAATACCCTTAAAGGCATCCGTGGCCCAATCAATCATGGTATTCCATGTCAGCAACCTGAGGAAGAGAGCCAGGGAGGAGTCAATACCGATGCGCACCATCTACAACAACGAGCTTACCAACCTGACTGATGACGAGACACGTACCATGCCCTCCTTTCCATCTGTTAGCAGTGCCCTGTACCGCCACCGCCAGAAGACGATTCCTGTCTTACCACAGACGAGATCAGAAGTCGACCTCCAAGATCCCTGGACGCAGACAGCAGATGGTAGACCATTCCTCCTGTTTGCGGACGGCCATGACGACAAGATCTTGGCCTTCGGAACACAAGAGAGTCTTGAACGTCCTGACGTCCCAAGAGCTGGCGACTTCAACGACTACATCGTGACAACATGGGTCGACGACACTGCCAGATTTTTTCTTCACCTGTGGAACCACAACTTGACAGCTGGGCCGAGGACAAACAACAACCTGGAAGGATTCCACAACCGTCTGAATCGAGAAATTCCACACAGGCACCCGAACATCTACAGATTTGTAGAAGTCATCAGGAGAGTCGAACACGCCGAGAGAGTGAGGATTGCTCAGATTGACTTTGGTGCTGCGCCAACAAACAGAAAACGGTGTACAGAGAGATCGACAACCGTCTGTGCAGACTCAAGGAACAGCTTCAGCGTGGACAGAAATCCCCTCTTCAGTTTCTTGACGCCGTCGGCTACCTGCTCAAGCTTGGATAGACTGTAACACTAACACTTGAACACTTGTGATAATGTAATAATGTGGTCTTTCTCTCATCCTGATATGTTGATATGAAACACTTGTGATAATGTGATCTTTTGTTCATCCTTATATGATGATATGAAAACACTGAATGTAAATAGACTGAAAAACTTGACAATTATTGATCTCAATGTGTGATGTATTAAGGTCACACTTTTGATAATGTAATAATTTGGTTTTTCTCTTATCCTGATGTGATATGAGATGAGATGATTAAAACACTGCATGTAAATAGACTGAAAAACTTGACAATTGATCTCAATGATGTGGTACTTTGTGATAACACATGTATTAAAGTCACTTTTAAAATCTGTCTTGTGTCATGTTGTGCATCTCAAGTGGACCAGTCCACTGTATGGAATAGGTAACAGCCAGGAGATTAGTTATGCAACAGACCATAAACTATGTTGTTATAAGCTGTAGGGGTAGTGGCATGTAGGGGTAATGGGTGGTTACCTGCCGAATTGCCTGGTGGTTACGGAAAAGGGCGAGTGATGACGAATGCTTCAAGGGCCACTCGCCCCTTTCCGTAACTTCCAAGAAGATCGCTATTCGGCTTGTCCCGGAATAACACGAGTTGGTCACGAATGAATAGCTTTCGTCAAGACGGTGATTCGGGTGAGTGAATTCCGACAAAGGTCTAAACTGTTCCCATGAACCCCAATGCAGGTATTGCTGAGTAGGCGAGATATCCATTCTCCGCCAACTTTTCTCTCAGCTGGAGTTAACAACGAACAAACTGGAAAATGAGTTCCACCTATGCACATTCCATCTTCCAGGTAAGGAATTTGTTCTGTCTCGTTGGCAGACATAAAATACACGACAAAGCAAGCGGGCCAAACAAGCCATACTCTAAACAGGCTAAGAAGCTTAGACGAAAGAATCTAGGATTCGCGGAAACACATATTTAGTATAAATCAAACTTCAAAGGATTTGCGGAAACACACACTTGATATAATTTAAACTTGATTGTAAGTTTTCATTTAAAGATTTGATTAAGGGGAATTCTTTAGAAGTTAAATTTTCGTTTACATTAAACGAAACTTCTCAAGAAGATAGATGCACTCTCCACAAACATCGGTCCGTCACTGATCATCGCTTTAAAAAGGATTGATTTAATATTGTGTATCACGTAGATGACCTAATAAGCATGTGAGTAGCGGGTTTATGTCATTGTAAAATGGGGGAGGGTGTTTGAGAGAGAGAGAGAGTGGGGGGGAGAGAGAGAGAGATTTCATAAATTGAGTCATCTCACCCTCTTCAGAAAGACAATTGCATCAGAGAGCATCTGATTTAATATTGTGTATCACGGAGATGACCTAATAAGCATGTGAGTGAGCGGGTTTATGTCATTGTATTCCAAATGGCGGCGGAGGGTAAATAATGGAGACAATCCAGAGAGAGAGAGAGAGATAAGGGTTGCATAAATTGAGTCATCTTACCCTCTTCAGAAAGAAAATTGCATCAGAGAGTATCTAATTTTAACAATTGCCCGGACCCCTCCCCCCAGATCCTCGGCCGAAAGACAACGGCCTCGAGCGTGGATCAGTAAAAAGACCATTGTGTCTTATTTGACATAAACGGATTATGATATCATTGATTTGCGTTAGTCTTGTTATAACCTGTATTCACTTCAGGATTTTAGGTTTCTAAGTGCTGCTGATCACTGGATTGTCAAGTTCTGATTCGATTATTCACAGACCACACAAAAACTCGACTATTACCGAGTGCGGCGTTAAACAACATACAAACAAATACTTTCTGAAGACGGTAAAAAATGATGGTGTCTATTTGGCATAAAGGGATTATGATATCATACATTTATCTGTAAGAACGTTACACGCCTACACAGGTGACTCAGTAAATACACTTCAAAATGTAATGTGTGGGATAGGTGTAAACCGGTGTAGTGTTACATTTGTACACCCTTGTGATTTGATCCGTTGCAATGTTTTTCAGCTATACTAATGAAAATGTTTTTCCTTTATTTCAGTCAGTGGTATGCCAAAACATTTATAAGCAAGTCTCACTTTTTAAGATATTAATTTACCAAATAAAATCATTGTAATTGTGGTATATGTGAACTTAGAAAATACTATTTCATATGAAAAGGATTAACAATACAATTCAGGGAGATATATACTACCCATCAAAAGTTTAGACTCACTAGTATAAATATGTAGCCACTTACTTCGGTCAACTGTTCTAAACTAGATTTTGCAAATACTCAAATAGTACTGTTTAAAGGTACTGTTTACACATGAACTGATGTATTGTTAAACAAATTCGTAACGATGATAAGATTATTGTCATGAGTTAAATAAATGATGAAACTAAGTCAATTATGACAATTGGCGAATTCTTAACAAAACTTTACACCAAAACGCAGCTGTTCACATGCACAATATTTGCACATGCTTTTAGGCAATTTGATGCATGATTCTCGTACAATTCAGCTGCATAAGATTTGCAGTTGGTTCCTCCAAATTAGTGGAGAAATTCATCTTCGATGTAACCAAATATGTATACATAACAACCAGTGAGTGTTATAAGTGAGTCTAAACTTTTGATGGGTAGTGTAGAAGTAAGAAAGCTGTGATGAGACCAAGAAAGGTCGTATTCAAATGTATGTTATTTCACAGGTGTCAAATTTACCTTTACACCGGCTATGCTGACGGGACAGGTAGGAATGTTATTCCGCCAGATGACCTAATTATAGCAGACCGTGGAGAGACAACAAATATGGCGGCTATTTCCTTACCTGGTGGCTGAGTGGGATACTAAAGGATACCTACATCTGAATTTCATATTTCCATCGTCATATACACCTATTTGTGCCTTTGAACTTCGACGACAACAACAGGTGAGTTTCTAATAGCGTTTCACCGAGGGTCACCAACATGGCCGACAATGACAGTGTACATGTCGGTTGCAACACGAGCTATTTTGGTGCGTGTATTTTAAGAAAGGATAAGCCGTTGGTTCAAACAGTTATTGAAAGGTTTATTTTAGATGTTTCAGGAAATTTATAACATCCTTTGATTTTCCTTTCTATGCGTGTCATGTCTGTTGAAAGCCATGTTTTGAAAGGCGGGATTCAAATATTTATCGTCCTGAGAGCTTGCATTCCTGTGTTGTGGTTGTGATAGGACTGTGTGGACGATCTTCGACAAGGCCACAGTTCAGTTAAAGAAGAAATTAAACACACAACCGCTCTCACAAACACAAGAACAAATTTCCTGAAAAATATTTTTTTGGCACCCGAATTGAAAACCTTATCAATGTCATACTTATGTCATTCCTGCAAGTGGATGTTTTGGTCATATACTGACATATATTCAGAATAACGTTACTTAGTACAAACGGTTGCATTTTTTCGCAAATTCATTCGATATGTTTGGAGTATTCCTTACCGACATAACACAAAATAATACAATTCGATTCCCCACATTGGTACAATGTGTGAAGCCCATTTCTGGTGTCCCCCGCCGTGATATTGCTGGAATATTGCTAAAAGCGGCGTAAAACTATACTCACTCACTCACAAAATAACACAAGACAATGTATATGCTTAGGTTGTGTCATACCGAAACGTTGGTATTAGTAGACACAATGAACAAGACACAACCAAGATGTTTTCTTTAAATACGACAGTTAAAAATAATAACATATATTTTTATCAATATATGTGGTCTGAAGTCTTACTACCACAAATTTTGTGTTTCTTCAAATATATGATATGCACCATAAACTGTAAATATTTGTCAGTTCAATTCATGTTTGATTAATGGTTCTAAATATGCATTTATGCAAATAGGTAATTACATAAATACGGATCCCCTTTGTATACCAGTATTGTTTAGCGAAATGAGAGGCCTGGGGAGTCAGGGGTATACTATGTTTTGTTTTTACTGCACCGCTCTTAAACATTAAACATTTCCCAGAGACCTATTTTCCCGGAAGTCACATCTCTAACATCTAAACTAACACTTATTCTCTGAATATATATAATTTTGTTAGAAACAGACAATTTCTTTTAAATTGAAAATGAGCCCCGGTGAGAAAGGAGATTCGGAACCTGAAGAGATCTAGACTTGTTTTATTTAGGGTTTTAGCATTGCAGTAAAGGATGGACGTAAGGAAAATATAGACTTGCACAAGTCACTCAGCTAATAACTAATACTTTTAAATGATAATTTCTAACAAAAATAGACTGGGGTTCCCTTATCTAGACTTGCCTCTTTAAAGGATAGAATTACTATACATGCATGGGCTTAGCACTTCAGTACAGCCTTGGAGCAAGGCTACTCAACACACAACACTGTTGGAGAGGACCCCTTATCTAGACTTGCCTCTTAAAGGATAGAATTACTATACATCCAAGGGCTTAGCATTCAGTACAGCCTTAGAGCAAGGCTAGGGAAAATAGTGCAGTTCAGGGACCGTGAGACAGACTCCTCGAAAACCTAGCACATTCCCCTGGGATCAATGTCACGCTACAGTCACACAGTTCAACGAGCCATACATTCAGCTGTCACGCTCCATTTCACCTCCGCTATGTCAGTTTTATGATGCACGTGACAGCAATCTTAACTGACATGAAACGGGAATACATTTCTGGAAGACAAGGCTGGAATCAATCATATCAAGTCAACCGGTGACGATCAAGGTTAGAATTGGTCTTCAGTAACCCATGCTTGTCGTAAGAGGTGACTAACGGGATCGGCTGTTCAGGCTCGCTGTCTTGGTTGACACATGTCATCCTATCCCAGTTGTTCAGGTCGATGTTCATGCTGATCATTGGATTATCTGGTCAAGACTCGACTATTTACAGACCGCCGCCATATAGTTTTAGTAAAACTTCACCCACCAAAACTTCACCCACTCTCATCTCATCTCATCTCATTCAATCATAACATGTCTTTGGTGGCTATTAAGAAGTTGCAAGAACGTGTAATACGACGCATTTTGAACTTTATATGTTTTAACGTCGACATTTTCGGGCTAATTCTTGCCTTTCATTAGATGGAGGGACGGTGGGGTAGCCCAGTGGTTAAAGCATTCGCGAGCTCCTCTTTAATCGCCAGGGGGGCGGTGGGGTAGCCTAGTGGTTAAAGCGTTCGCTCGTCATGCGATTTCATGGGTGCAATATGTGAAGCCCATCTCTGGTGTCCCCGCCATGATATTGCTGGAATATTCTAAAAGCGGCGTTAATGTACACGCCAGGACTAAGTGCATAGAATGCTTGTACATATGAAACAGTTGTGTGCAAAGAAGGACAATGACTGATTTAATACCAGTGCCGCCGATAACGGGTTTCGGGACGGTAGAATATACCACCAAAGGTTTAAGTCAGAAAATTGTGCTTATAATGCAACGGATATGAAAAGAGTATGTTTGTATGATATAAGAAACTCGAAGCTTTGTTTCAATATGTGATTGCTTTGCAAAAGGGTAGACCAACGCTTCGTCTCTGAAATTATTAAATTTGATGGGTCGTCTCAAAAGCAAATCCAGAACGGGTGTTGCAGACGGTGGTTGGGGTCGGGCTTGTGGGGTAGAGATATAAGCTGAGATAGATAATCCTTTAGGGGAAGCAAACGGCATGTCATTACAATTTACAAATAATATCCAGTCCTGTCGGTGGTCATGCCACCTATATATTTTGAGACATTTAATACGATGGCTGAATTAAGGTTTCCATGGGTATCATACCATTTTACGTATCTCAACATAAACTTTAGGATAAATAAATGAGACATAGTCAACACACATGAAAAAGCATAAAATATCTTTGAGATGACCCCTTGTGCTTGTAGGCAGTACGTGAATTTCATGCCAGGTGAGTCGACGGTCCGTCGTCATACCTGGCTGAGCGACCTAATTGCCATCTATAGTCCGATCTATTGTTTTGGGCAAACATGCTTTTCTGGAAATACTATTACGCATCCCACTCAATGCCCAGTTAGGCCGATGTGGGTTATTTCGATATATGCTATTCGTAAATTTGTCAATTTTAGGGATACAAAGTAACAGCCTAAAACATTTTTTTTCTATTTCCGACAGTACTTTAGGTTCCATGCAGGTAGCAAAAGCACTGTAAGTCCCCATGGTCACTAGTATGGTGATCAGCCTTCAGTTGTTGGCGACCTATAGCTCATTTTTATAGTGTATTGTCTTCATAAATGAAATAATTGTACATGTACATGCTAGTTTTAGACACCATCTCCATCCATTTTACAGTCCTTCGATGACTAATTTTTTAGCAACTGATATTTATTGTTTAAGTAGAACATTTCTCGTCACTATATGGCTGAAATATTGCCGAGGTGACGGTAAATTTTAACTCAATCACCCATATGAAGACTGTCATATTAATTCTACGTTGAGAAAAGATTTTGCTGTGTGAATACTCGATTCGGCAAACTCGTACCACTCATAAAATAATTGAATAATAATCCAGAATTGAAAACATAATTTCTGAATGGGCCGCTAATATTGAGTCCGGGGGATGGAGTCATGGGCCCTCATTTTCCCACACCAAGAATGAACTCGAGGTATACATTTGATCATACAATTGTGTGATAATGTCATTATTCAAAATAGAGGATATTACTGTCACAGGTCAACCTAAAGGTCACACACACACACCTGGGTCGGAAGGGGATAAAAGGAGGGTGGGGCTTAAGGGTTCAAAACTCAACATTGATTAGGTGACACAAAGGTCACACGCTTGTGTGATTACGTCATAAAACAAAATGGCGGAAAAGAAAAATATTCAACCCATGTCAATGCCCGACGATGCTCAGTAAGTGAAAACCCATTGCTTCGGATGTAAAAATAGTTCATTTATCCCTTGTTCCCGCCCGGGGGACCAGAATGTAATCGCCTTACCTTTGTGACGTAACACACTGATGTAGACATAATTATCACAAGCCAAGTCTGACCTCGGGTCACCACACGTGTCTTTGACCGAGGTCAGGGGGCGTCTCAAAGGAAGACTCGAATAAATGACATGAAAGAAGTTAAGGCGATTGATAAATCTAATCGATCAATAGGCGTTATAAGCTGGTGTAATTTTATACCGGTCTTTATCTCCTTACAAACTGTCATATTGTCGGGTCACATGATTTCAAGTTACCAGCAAAATGCTTCAGGGGTCGTTGTCTGGACGGGTACTACAGATGTGTACTCCGGGTACGTTACTGTATATAGAAATGTTCCCTAGCCAAAATCAGAATACAGAAACGTACCCAAGGACGAGTCCATTCTGCAGAATAGACAGAAACCCATGTGCTTGACATAAAAGGCGACTATCTTGGACTAACGGAGGTGGTCCATTCTGCATCGGTTCCCAATTGCGCAGATCGATGCTCATGCTGTTGATCACTGGGTTGTCTGGTCCAGACTCGATTATTTACAGACCGCCGCCATATAGCTGGAATATTGCTGAGTGCGGCGTAAAACTAAACTCTTAGTGCTGTTGTACGAAACAACCATAGCGCCAAGACTACCGTAAGTCTATGTTAAGGTATTCGGTTCCCAATTGCGCAGATCGATGCTCATGCTGTTGATCACCGGATTATCTGGTCCATACTCGATTATTTACAGACCGCTGCCATATAGCTGCTGAGTGCGGCGTAAACTAAACTCACTCATTCACTCACTATGTTAAGGTATGGGAGTTACGGTCACCTTAGTGCTAAGATCGCTCTGTACAACGGCACCCAGAACTGTCACACTGCTGTATGAGATGCCTTTGATTGTGTTATAAGAAACGAGCATACACAGTACCGAATATTCGTGATGCCCCATGCCACTCGCAGTCAGTTGAACGGGAACAACGAGAGTCTGTTTGATTTC